CATGTGTCCTATCTTCGAGTGTCGAAGGTCGACCCATTGACCCATTGACGTTCTTCTACGAGCAGGTACACTGACTAACGAAGAAGTAAGTTCAACTTCGATTCTTTTCACATTTTTCATAATTTTACCTATCCTGTAATTTGTAAAATTGTTTGTTATTTCATTGAGCATGTTACATTTGTTCAGTGAACGTAAGTAACGACTAATCCCTTTCTTTCTTCTGATATTCAATCAATTTGTTAGTTCGTTTTTGCAGGCAACATTTCTTTAATCCTATGTTCTCGTCACGAGCGCGACATACGGGCGCGGCAACGCACGAGGCGGTTATCGCGCTCCCGCCCGCCTTGTATACTCGTGCTCTGATTCGTCGAGAGTTTTTGTTAATAACTCGACTACCACGCCTCGGACAACTTTTTTGCAAAGGAAAAAGTTGTTTAAAATCACCATGGCTCCACCCCATTTCAAGGCCTAACACTAGTTCTGGGACACCCTGTATATATATAGGATATTTCTTTTTGTTGAGAAGAAAAGAGCATTCTCCCGCCTGACTTAAAAATCTCATAGAGCGTGTGTCGATGTGCTCTTGTGGATTTAGCGAGTAATCAGGAGGAATGCGAGGCACATCGTTTAAAATAATTTGCGTTCTCCACTCGTCACCAGAGATAAGCCCACAAATTATAACTACGGTCCTGTTCATCGTTATCCACATGCATTGACCGACGACGATCAGCTGTGCGTATGGTAAGAACAACCGCCGATGCAAGTCGGATTGCTCTATTTCAGGGGCCGAAACGCCAAATTTATAAACGTTAATAAGTAATTAACGAAGACCCAAACGTAATTTTCTCTCTCTTCATTTTCGTCTTATTTTTGACCATAGAACACGTCCTTAAAATATTACCCACCTGTAGATTTACACCTTGTATAGAAATAAAATGAATACCTGGCAGGGTAGTGTTGAACACGAGTTTCGTCCATGTATCGATATCGAGTACGAATTTGTAGAAGTATGTGGGCTGCGTAGCCTTCTCTACTTGAATATCTATCACGTCGTAAATGCCTTGAAGGAATAGCGCATCGCTTATGTAATCCGCATATTCCTGTTTCGTCTCCTCGCAAACCGGCTTGTCGCCAAAGTACAAGCGTTTCACATCTTTCGGAGTGATCCCATGCTTCTTAACTTGCGTCCGCAGCTCCAGAGGCATCACCACTTCGAAATTCTCACTGATCGCCACGAGATGCTCGGTTTCGTTTGGCCGGAATGCTGAAGATCCCCAAAATGCGTTAAAATTTAAATGCGTATGTAAATATGGAAAGTTTGTACACGAGACATACTATTCTATGACGAAACGAAGTAACTTACGAGACAGAAACATCGAGCCCTCGTTGTTATTGAAACCAATCATCAAAGGAACTTGAATGCCCCTTTGCATCATCACCGACGGATGCTGCGGCATGAACGGATTTGGAGATTTGTCGTCTATACTTGGGAGAAATACTCCAAATTCGACGTGACGTTGCTGTAACATTCATTAAAGTATAAACAATATCTAAATTTTAGTTCGAAAGATAATTAGTGATAATAGTTGACAAAGGATTTTTGTAATTGACTATGTCTGTAATACAATTTTTCATGACAGTACAGTTTCTCGTTATCATATCACTCCTCTCTGTTCATCCCATACTAAGTCAACGTTCACGTACAGTTATTCTCATAAATATTACAGTAGTTACAAAATTGTCTCCTTACACATTTAATTACAATACGTTCATCAAAGTTATTGTTATGTAGTAGATTAATACATTTAATCTCCTATGCACATGTATGGAAATAAATCCTGTATTCATTATTTTTTGTACATGTTTTGTTACAACCAAGGCTGCAATAATATTTGGACAGTAGATATATCTTACAGTTTTATTCTCCTTAAGAAAATACAGGAAAGGATGAATCAGAATAAAGAGATAGAAGGAAGACCTACAAATGCAGAAAGATTGGGGAGATATAGATCTAACAGTGTAAGCAGTCTAGACGGACTCCTTAGAAGAAAAAGAAAGCGAGAGGTATCTGATGAAACAGGGGAAAAGGACAAGGAAGAAGAAATGGAGGCATTCAGAAAGAGCAGGATCATAGAAAGATCACCCAAGAAAGGATGAAAACATGATGGAGGAATTTATGAAAAAGATGATGTAAGGGCGGTTGTAGAAAATAATAGAAGAAAGTACTAGACACATAATAGAAAGGATGAGAGAAGAGTACAAAGAATAAATGATAAAGTGGGGGGAAGAGATACGAAGGGAGAGGGAGGAATGGAGAGCCAAAAGGGAAGAATTGGCGGGAAAAATAAGAGAACGGAAAGAATCACACAGTTGGAAAGGATGGTAGATAGAAGAGAGAGAGAGAGAGAGAGAAGAGAAAACTTATCATAAAGGGAACAGAATGGAAGGAAAGAGTAGGAGAAAAAGAAGTAGAAAACTTCTTAACCAAGCAACTGAAGGTTGAGGTTAAAGTCAATAAGGCTATCAAGATAGGTAGAGGGAAAGGAAAAGAAATGATACTGGCAGAACTGAGGAGCTGGGAAGAAAGAAGGGAGGTGATGTAAAGAAAGAAAACACGAAAAACAGGAATATGTATAGATGATCATTTGTCAAAAAAGAAGAGATTGGTACAAGAGAAACTCAGAGAGAGGGCGAGAGAGGAGAGAGCATAGGTAAGAACAGCGAAGGTAGGATATAGAAGAATGACAATAGGAGAAAAAAAGTTTGTGTGGGATGACAAAAGACAGGACGTAAAAGAGGAAAGAGGAGGTAGGTGGCGTTAAGAAGAGGGGGGGGGGAGTGAGAAAAGGGAAGAAAGCGGAAGATGCTAGGATATGTATATGGAATATAGCAGGAGTGGCAAGCAAGTGTGATGAGACATAGAAATATCTATTATCGCACGATGTGATAGGAATGGTGGAAACATGAACAGAAGAAAACACCTGAGAAAATATGAGTAAATACCTACAAAAAGGATAAGACTGGTTCTGTATCCCAGCGAAGAAAAAACATAAGAAAGGAAGAGCAAAAGGAAGAATTATAATGCCATTGAGGAAGGGAATGGGAAAGGTAGAAATGATAAAGGTGGATGATGGAATTCTGAAGCTAAGCTGGAAGAGAGATGAAAGGAGATGGAAGATTTACATTGTATACTGTCAAGAAATAAAGGACAGGCTGAAGAAGATAGAAGACGAGATTGAGGGAGAGAGGGAGAACTGTATAGTGTTGGCAGGAAACTTTAACGCTCGAACGGGAGAGGAAGGAGGCCCGATAGAGGAAATTGGAGAAAATAGTCGAAGATCGAACAACAAAGAGATAAACGAAGAGGGCAAGGTCTTATTGGATAAAATAGCATAGCTAGGAATGATGATGGAAAATGGATTCAGAGAAGAAACAGGAGGGTGGACGTACATTGGAGAAAAAGAAACATCAGTAATTGATTACGTGGTAACGAATGATAAGGCACATAAAGATATATGCAACCTGAAAGAAGGGGCTAGGACGGAATCGGATCACTTACCTATAGAGTTTACGATAAGAGGGATGAAGGGGAGGAAAGAAACAACTAACAAGGAAAAAGAAGATGAGAGAGAAGTAATAAAGTGCATATGATCATAGGAGGGGATTGAACACTATCACAGTAACTGTAGAGGATGGAACAGGACTATGGGAGGGACAGAGGAGGGTTAGAAAGAGATAAAGGAGAAAGTGCATGGAGCAATCTTGAAAGAGGAGAAGAAGATTAGAAGGTGGAGAAGAAGAGTAGAGTATGGGTGAGAGGAAATGGCATAGCAAAGCATGGAGGGAAAAGAAACGAGAACTCAGGAGGCAAAGAAAGGCAAGGTGAAGAGAGAGGTGTTTATAAAAGAAACAAAAGAATACAGAAGATGGTGTAAAGAAGAAAAGATAAAAATGGAAGAGGAAGAAGAACTAAAGATAAGAAATATAAAGACTGAGGCGGAAGTGTGGATATATATTAACAAATACAGAAAGGGAAGAACAAGGATAGATGAAAACATATTGTTTGAAGATCAATTAAATTTATTAAAAACGGTTTAAGAACATTGCTCGGCCGTTAGGAATTCTTTAATTCGCGTGTGAAAAAGTCGCCGGCTATAGCCGACTGAGTCACCGCGAGTAGAAAAAATGATCAACACCGCCTGCCTAGCCGGTTCGGTAGACGCCAGTACACATAGAATATACGAAAGAATATTCGTCGATTCCGCCGCTAACTGGGGAATCTCGTCTTCCTGGTGAGCTAGAGCCGTGACCCCTTGTCGGCAGTTGACTGTCAAGGAGTACGCATCGTCTAAGACGCCTTTTCGTCTATAATCGATAATTAGCTCCACAACGGAATTTATGTATGCATTTTATTCTTTGCTAGCTTCCTGATTTCGAGATTCTTCAATCAGAGCCAGAGTCACGCAACAAATTCCCTTCCTTCTTTTATTCCGAGCGAAAGATTCTCTTTTGCATTCGGTATTATGATGGTTAAAGGAATTTGGCAAAGCAAATTAATACTAAACCCTTTATTATACAAAAAAGAAAAATACAGTCGTGCTTGGGACGAACATGTGCACTGGACAAGTGCTAGCTCGAGACTAAGAAAATTACATGTAGATCAGGGGTCTCAGAATTTATCCCTCGGCCGGAAAGTGGGAACGACGCGACCATGGTGGGGACTGGTACTTAGTACTTGATAGGTTCGCTTCGCGAAGGCGCATGAAGAAAATAGTAGTGGGGATCGAAATACGGGCGAAAAAGAGGGGAAACGAGCCGTGCGGGATAAATTCTGAGACCCCTGATATAGATATAGAAGACGAACTTGAGGTGGCAGCACTTAGCTTAACAATCTACAGCATATAATAGTACAGGTTACATAAATACTTTAACACCACCCCTTAAACTGTACTACCGAATATATATATAGTATCATGTACAAAGTCCGATTTTACTACACATATCCTTGAATTTAACTGAGTTTAGCGGCTTTGTAAATAGATCACCTAACTGATCCTCAGAACGTACATGCTCAATACTAATTTCACCTTTCTGATACAATTCGCGAACATAGTAGTAACGAACTTCTATATGTTTGGTTCTTTTGTGAAACTCGTGGTTTTTCGTTAATTTTATTGCACTAGCGTTGTCAATAAATAGCACCGGTACTCTTTTGTCATCCCTGACCTCGTTTAAAAGTCTCTTAAGCCACACAAGTTCCTTAGCACCTTCACTTGCGGCAACGAACTCTGCTTCCGTAGTTGAGAGAGCAACTGACTTCTGTAACTGAGAAGTCCATGAGACTGCTGTTCCACCAATAAATGAAATAAATCCATTAGTCGATCTTCGTGTGCTTAAGTCACCGGCAAAGTCTGCATGTGAATAGGCGCAAAGCTCACCACTTGCAAACTTATAATTTAGGCCAAAATCAATGGTGCCACGTAAATACCTAAATATACGTTTAACAGATAACCAATCTAGGATCTTTGGTTCAGCCATTGATCTAGCAGCCCTTGATACTGCATAAGCGATATCAGGGCGAGTGGCACATGCTAAATACATCAGGGACCCTACTGCTGAACGATACGGAATAGAGCTATCAAGAGCACCATTTTCTTCCTTATCCGTATGATTTTCTGCAGGTGTTTTTGATGAATTACAATCAGCCATACCAAAGCGCTGCAGAATCTTTTCAACATAAGCTCTTTGTGATAAGAAGTATCCATTTTCACGCTGCTGAATTTGCATGCCTAAAAACGAGTCTAGTGATCCTATGGTGATTTTAAATTCCAAAGTCAGTAGTTTTAGAAATAAATCAATTTCTTCTTGATCAGATCCGACTATTAAACCATCATCAACGTAAATTGCAACAATTATCAATTTTCCCGATTTAGACAGTCGAATGTAGATACATGGGTCAGCTATTGATTGTGTGAATCCATTTTCAATCATAAACGAGTGAAACTTGTTATTCCAGCATCGTGGGGATTGTTTTAGTCCATAAATTGATCTTTTCACACGACATACTCGACGAGATCCATCGTCAAACCCCTGCGGTTGTGACATATAGATCTCTGCATCTATCTTACCGTAAAGAAAAGCGGTTTTGAATGAGAATGTTCGAGGCACTGGTAGAAAGTATAGCACTGTATGGGGCGGAAATCTGGGGATGGAAGAAAGAGGAAAAGTTGGAAAGACTAAAGAGAAAATATATTAAATGGATACTTGGGTTGGAGAAGCAAACGGCAAACTATGTAGTAACGGAGAGAAATAAATGAAAAAGTACTAATAAGAGCAATGAAATTTGAGGAGAAAAATAGGAGAAACGGAATAAATCTGATAAAAGAGTGTGTTAGAACAGTGAATAGAAGAAACAGAGTAGGGGAGGATAACAAATGGCTGGAGGATAGAGAGCACACGATAGAGGAATATGATCTAAAAGAAGAAAGACATTATAATTCAGAAAGTGAAGAGGAAGACTAGAGGAATGTTTTGGAAAGGCAGAAAGAAAAAGTTAGAGTGGCAACGAGAAGAGAGAGAGAAGAAAAATTTGCGGCGTCAAGAATGACTACCTAATCTGGAGGACAAATGAAATCCCAATGTGGGAAGACGTACTTCTCGCTCACAAAAACCTTGAGAGTTCTACATGAGTTAGACAACAATTAGTTTGGCAAGAAGCTAATACTCAATTTGAAACAAAAGTTCTTCTATCAATAGTACATTATGCTGGCGGATGATTAATAGTATGGAGGTGTATGTCCGCTACTGGGATAGAACTAATTTTTGTTGATGATAATTGTCTTAGATAAAAGTAAATATTGGAACATATTCAATGAAAATTGAACACAAAGTGCAGTAGAAATGGGCACAGATTTCATCAAGGCAATGATCCGAAGCACAAATGTTGGGTTGCACAAGAATATTATATACATAGCTGTCCTAAAGTGCTACATCTTGCTACAATTACCGAATCTAAATTCCATCGAAAACTTATGGGATTCACTATATCGTAACATTAAAAAGACACCGATAAAACAAATAAAATATTAAGAACTCGTATAACAGTAGAATAGTAATAAATAACGCAAAATTATTTGATCCAAATAATTGCTGTTTGCTCAGTCGTTTATTTGTAGTAATTCAACGATAGGTGTACCCAACAAAACATCACAGAAATGCTGTAATTCATTTTATGAATAAATAATAATAAGGTATTGTTAAATGTCCGGATATTTTTGAAATGACGAAATTGGGCTCATTTTTCGTAATAAGTAAACATGTATAAAACAATAAAGAATGAAGGATATATTTTCATACATAGTATAGTATACGTGGAGGAAGTGCATTATTCAACAAGAGTAAATCTGATAAATGTATTATAACTAACAATGTAAAGCGATAGTTCTCAGCTACTACAACGTCCGAATATTTATAGGAATTACTGTACACATATATCGAGCTATGTTTATTAAATAGTTGCAGTCTCTTTATTAATGAGAAATGACAATGTGTTCATAAACTAGCATTAAATTACCCTATTAGAAAGTATTGTTCTGCAACATTTTTTGCTTAAGTTTTTGTTGAGCTTTGATGATAATCCAGTTAATCAATATAGATATACAGGTTGTTTTAGACCATCCGTTCACTTCTATTAAAATGGTGGAGAGTGATTTTTATTGAAAGTCTAAAAGATTTTCTTAACTAATACGAGTATGCTGTGTTGCAGAAGAGCAGAATTAAAAGTGTGTGCATACACCTTGTGCAAACTCGTAATTAAAGTACTGGTGTATACACACCTTTAATTCTGCTCTTCTACACTATTAAACGTTGGTAGTTGCAATTTCCGGTACTAATCAGAAATGGGATTTTCAGGCCGAAAGTTGTTTTAGCAGGTACTTATTTTTTATTCGGATTGTATGCAAAAAAATATAAAAGTTTCGTCTGAAATATTTTTCTCGAAAATGCCTCCATTGGACGAAAAATGATTTCTAATGTATGAATTCACCTTTTTCAGATTCAAGATGTAATTTTTAATAACGAATTTGCACAATTTACAGGCCAAATATTAAAGAATAATACCTTCCAATAAATGAATTAATAATCAAATTCACAGAAATAAACAAAGGAATAACAAGGATTCATTTTAGAAATAAATAGGTATTTCATATGAGTTAACATAACTTGAAAAACGAACGTACAATGAAAAATATTTAACATTCTTGTTCAAATGGGCTAACATTCTGAGAGTTTATATAAAAATAATATAATAATAATAAAATCCAATATCATGGGTGTAATAACGAGTGCAAGAATTTCATAAGACTTCTTGTCAATCACCTTTTGATCATCTTAATTAACGTATATTTAAATAATTTGCCTAAAGTAGAAGTCATGTTATGCAAAGTGAAATCATTTTATTTAGATGGAAAGAGCGATCTTGGATTATACATTTGAAGTTTAAATGAATTCTTATTTATTTCAATTAAATTAGTAATGCAAAATATTTGAAAAAATTAAAAACTTGTCTTTGGTCTCATCGATATTTTTTCTGTATCTGGGATTTTTTTAATCGCTTCCTCAACGCTCCTGTTTTTTAAACTTTACTTTCTTTGACATATCTTATCGATATCGTCCAATCGCATCTGCATTGTCCATTATGCAAGATAAACTTTCTTTAACTAAATTTATATTCCTTCTCCACGTCAAGTTTCCATTAAAAATGCATGGACTTTTTTGATACATTCTTCAAAATATTTCGATTGGATATAGAAGTTGATCAGAAAATTGTAATCTCTACTGACTAATTGAAGACAAGTAAAATGGAATTTGGTTGGAAGTGCATCTTTGCTCGAATCTCATGCATCGACTTACCAATGGTGTCAAAAATTCCCTTTCGATGGCAACGAGCTTCCTCGCGTCTATCGTCTTTAGGAATTCGACGACGACCTCGGGTTCAATTGAATGCTCGCCAAGTTTCGCGGCAAGTTGGTACACACGTTCCTTGGGACCCATGGTTGCGAGAGCCCACGAATTAACCGCTACTCCGCTCTGCGCGATTGCCTTGTGGAACAATCCTATGGACACACAACGTCGTAGAACAGAATTTTGGATTTCTAGTTGACGAACCAAATAACCTTAGTTATTAGCCTTAATGACGCAAACGTAACGAGCGAGACATTGTGCTCATAGAATGCATAATGAAACATGCTCGGCTATTTAGAAAGTCGAATCGACGTAACAAGCTGGAATATCACTTGACAGGAATTTTTAATCGTTAGACTGTAGAATAATGTATCTAAAGTGTGAATCTAGAATTCTAGAAATCAATCTCTTCTTTTTAAGAATAATAATATGCATTTCATTTTTGTTCTGCA